GGTTAGAGGATGATTCATGAACATCTTCTTAAAATATCCATTGTCATCAATAAAATGACTCTGAACTAAATGTAAAGTTTTATCAATAAAGGAATATTGAAATTAGAATCACACTTACTTCCTTTCATTATTTCCAAGATGCTGAATAATCTAGATCAATGGAAAATAGATCAATGAGTTTATCCTTAAATATATACATATGAAACTTTCAAGAAACCAGACTCAATAAAAAGTAAAGAAATATGAGACTAACATAATAGGGCATGACTGAAAACTCATCCAGTTCTCAAAAAGGTTCACATATGAGGAATACTGTTCACCTGACTGATGGTGCATTTCCTTTTTGCTTACTCTGTGAGCATGAAATCAACAGACAACAAATGTGTCTTTTTTATACTGTGTGCTTAATAAACAGTGATCCATCCTAGTCACTTAAAAAATCTAGTTGGGCAGATTGGATCCCAATCTTCCAAATGTTTACAGATGGAGATAACACTAATAAAATTAAGCACCACTGTTTACTTCACATCTTTTTGTACATAAGACATGTCTCTGGATTTCTAGGTAGGTTTTCATGTACTTTCTATAAAACTTATGTCATGCTGTGTAAACTATACTACATACTGCTTTTTTTCCCACGTTATGGAGCAATCATACTAAATACATATATTTAAGTAATTTTTCTAATTATGAATAGCACAGCGATACTAGAATAAGAATTAAACTGTGGAATTAGAAGAAGACGTACATCAGCACAAAGAAAAATTAATACCCAAAGATGGCATAACAATTTAAAAACTGCTTTATAAATTATTTTTAGATAATTTTGTTTTTTTCTCAGAAATATTTACCGTGGAAAACGCAGATGGTGCAGGTTGGTGCAAGAGTAATTGCAGTTTTTGCTCTGTTGAAATTTGCCATTTGATATTGGAACACATTCTTAAATAAATGTGGTTAGGCTATACATCATTTTAATGTGCATTTCTCACTTTATTTTTTTTTGCTGATGACTCTATGTTTTTTTTACTTGCTGTTTCTATTTATTTTAGACTATAGAAATAATGTTAGACCAAAAGCAAATCTGAGCAATTTTCCTTTTTTTATTTATTTTTTATTTTTTTGAGCTGGAGTGTTGCCTGTTGCCAGGCTAGAGCGCAGTGGTGCAATCTCAGCTCACTGAAACCTCCACCTCCTTGGTTGAAGCAATTCTCCTGCCTCAGCCTCCCAAGCAGCTGGGACCATAGGTGCGTGCCACCACACCCAGTTAATGTTTGTATTTTTAGTAGAGACAGGGTTTCACCATGTTGGACAGGGTAGTCTCCATCTTCTGACTTCATAATCCACCCACTTTGGCTTCCTTAGGTGCTGAGATGATGCTCACAAGCCACAGCGCCCAGCCAGTGTTTTCTTAGTTGAGTTCAAAATGGGTAGTAAAGCAGGGAGACAACTCACAACATCAACAACACATTTAGTCAAGAAACTGCTAAGGAATGTATAGCACAGCGGTGGTTCAAGAAGTTTTGAAAAGGAAGAGAGCCTTGAAGACGAGGAGCGTAGTAGCAGGTCATTGGAAGTTGACGGCAACCAATTGAGAGCAATGGTCAGAGATGATCCTCTTAAAACTACACAAGAAGTTGCTGAAGAATTCAACATAGACCAATTTAGGTCATTTGGAATTTGAAGCAAACTGGAAAGGTGAAAAAGTTTGGTAATTGGGTGCCTCATGAGCTAAGCGAAAATCAAAGAAATCATTGTTTTGAAGTGTCATCTTTTCTTATTCTATGTAACAATGAACCATTTCTCAATCAGATTGTGACATGTGTGGCTGGGTTGGGTGGCTCTTGCCTGTAATCCCAGTACTTTGGGAGGCCGAGGTGGGTGGATCACCTGAGATCAGGAGTTTGAGACCAGGCTGACCAATAAGGTGAAACTCCATCTCTACTAAAAATACAAAAATTAGCCAGGCATGGTGATGTGGACTTATAGTCCATTCCAGCTACTCTGGAGGCTGACACAGGAGAATTGCTTGAACTTAGGAGGTGGAGGTTGCTGTGAGCCATGATCATGCCACTGCACTCCAGCCTGGGTGACAGAGGGAGACACTATCTCAAAAGAAAAAAAACTAGGGCCGGGTGCAGTGGCTCATGTCTGTAATCCCAGCACTTTGGGAGGTAGAGCTGGGTGGCTCATGAGGTCAGGTGTTCAAGACCAGCTTGACAAACACGGTAAAAGCCCGTCTTTACTAAAAATATAAAAATTAGTTGGGCATGGTGGTGCGCATCTGTAATCCTAGCTACTCGGGAGGCTGAGGCAGGAGAATCGCTTGAAGCCAGGGGGCAGGGGTTGCAGTAAGCCAGATTGTGCCACTGCACTCCAGCCTGGGTGACAGAGTGAGGCTCCATCAAAAAAACAAACAAATAAAAATAAAATATAAAAAAAGATTGTGACGTGCAATGAAAGTGGATTTTATATGACACTGGCAATTACCAGTTCAGTGGTTAGACAAAGAAGGGGCTCCAAAGCATGTCCCAAATCCAAACTTGCACCAAAAAACAAAACAAAACAAAACAAACAAAAAAACAAAAACAAACAAACAAACAAACAAAAACAAGGTTATGGTCACTGTTCAGTGATCTGCAGCTGGTGAGATCCACTACTGCTTTCTGAGTCCCAGTGAAACCACTATATCTGAAAAATATGTGTAACAAATTGATGAAGTGCACTGAAAACTGCAATGCCTGCAGCCAGCATTGGTCAAAGGAAAGGGCCCAATTCCTCTCCACAATGCCCAACCACGTGTTGCACAACCAATGCTTCAAAAGTTGAATAAATTGGGTTACAAAGTTTTGCTTCATCCACCACATTCATCTGACCTCTCGCCAACTGACTACCACTTCTTCAAGTATCTCACCAACTTTTTGCAGGGAAAGCACTTCCACAACCAGCAGGATGCAGAAAATGCTTTCCGAGAGTTCCTCAAATCCCAAAGCACGATTTTTACACTACAGGAATAAACAAACTTACTTCTCACTGGCAAAAAATGTGTTAGTTGTAATGGTTGCTCTTTTGATTAAGAAAGATATGTATGAGCCTAGTGAATGATTTAAAATTCACAGTCCAAAACCACAATTACATTTGTACCAATGTAATAAATTGATGTCTTGTATGGACAGTCTGGAAGGGAAGAACACTCCTCTGAGGTGCCACAACACAAGTCGTTCACATTAGAACTCAGAGATAGCTACTAAATGAAATTAATGTTTGACTTATATTTCACAGGTTTTTTAAAATTTTATAAAACAAAAAATATCACAACATTAAATAAGTATGCAACGCATACTTGAAGTCATGAAATAATCTCAGGAGAAAGAGAAAGAGTAAAGGCAACAACAGCATAGGTGATTTAAGGCATTTCTTTATCCTAAACGTGCTTGTCTTCCAACCTTCTAATCATTGTTCTGGCATGTAGCCCAAGCTAAGGCATGATCTTTAACAGTTCTCTGCAGCTGTCTGAGCGCCCCAGGTGGATGGTGAAGGGGTTAAAATGTGCTAATCCTGCATATTGACTAAGTTAAAGACACTTGAAAAATGCCAGGTGTGAAAAGATCATGTTGACCTTGTGCTGTTTCTCAAAAGCAGAACAAGAAATTCCCATGTGAAAGATGCTCTTCCTGTATTAGAAAGAGGCAATGTCCTTATCCTCAAGGACAAGAAGTTGAAACCGAGAGAATCCTATGCAGACATCACTAATATAACTCTTAATTCTCCATATATAATTTAGCGGCTTCTTCACTTTTACTGCTCTTTGGCTTATTCACTATACATAAGTAATAGATTCTAACTGCTTCTTTACATCTTCATTTTTTTAATGAGGCCTCCCATGCCATATAAAACATACATTTTGCTTTTCTCCTGTTAATCTAATTTTTGTAAATTTAATTCTCAGAACCAATTGGAATGCTAAGAGGATAGAGGTGGAGTTGTTCTGAACCTACAAAACAGAGATGTGATACCACTCATTGTTAGAATTCACAGACCAGTTGAGATTAATACATGTCTTTGTCTCTATATCTTTAAAGCACATTCATTCTCATTAAAATAGTAAATATATAGCCATATCAATTACTGAGCATCCTGAATGTTAAAAACAGAAAGACAAACATCTATACTTTTAAGGATGCAGAAATATTAGATTGTAATGTTGAAGTAATATTTCTATTCTCTATTTCACATGGCAACTTTTTGGGGAGGAGTAACTACTTTTCTTTTTCTTTTTTGGAAAGTCCTTGAAAGAGACTTATAGAGACCGAGATAAACACTTAAATGTAATGTTTGAGGCTGGCATGAAAACCCTTTTGTTCTATGGTCACTTAAAGGAAGACTCTTTCTAAATATTAACCAGAGTCATTTTCCAGATTATTTAACTCTACGGCTAAATGTGCTATGAGAAATGAAACTTCTGACTTTTAGGCTGCAGTGTTAATGGACTGATTCCTTTTCCTTACAGCATATTGTAGATGTTCCATTCACATGCATTATAAAGAATAATGATAGTTTTATGCAATATATATTTTTGAAATCTGGGAAAATGTATATTACTTTATATCACATTTGATTTTTCATATAAATTACTGTAGCCCTTTGAAAAAACTTTAAAAATCCATTTTTGGAGTTTACTATATTAGTCATGCCTTTTGGTGATCTTTATTTTTTGACAATAATGAAATTACTTAATGTCATTTCAAGTTCATCCCATTACATATACACATGAACTCAGAGCTGGGGTAATTCACTTATGTAGTTCAACATCTCCTTTGTTACAGATGGTAAACGTGCAGATTTCTCCCTCCAGGAAAGAAGCTCTTTCATAAAATAATTGCATATTCTGCTCATTTTTTCTCTTCACTGATGCTTTTGTATTGTTATTACACCCTGTCAGATTAGTAATTAGCATGCAACCTCCATACGACATAAATGCATTTCTCTTGCTTTCTTACAAGCCCCTTTAGCGACTCAAAGCATATTATAACTCCAGCTGGCCAAAAAGAGAGGAAATAAATAATATAACAGGAATAACTGCAAGAGCAAGTGCAGCATCAGGCTGGTGCATTTCTTTTGATCAAAAGGTCGAATTGCAACTGGTCTTTGAAGAGTTTTTTGATGACAGTGTACAACCTTTGCAGTAAGTTTTTTATTACTTTTTAATACATAATTGAATTAATAGCCTTAGTCACACTCTGAGGGAGGAAATTAGCTGAAGAAGGAGAGAACCCTGTGATAAACCTTCTGAAAAAGAGAAAAATAAGTGGTTAATCCATAGGTCAACCTTAAGAGGGACAGAAGACCCCCAAAGAACTGACCAAAGAGCCTATGCCTAGTAGAGTCAGTTTGAAATCATGTAGATTAGAATTGGGATTATAGGAAGAAATCACTAATACATACCCATATATAGAGAAAAATTCAGTCTGCTTGGGTGTCTTTTTCAAAAGGAAAATAATTCAATAAAAAATAACCAAGGTGAAAGTATTCTGTGAAATTTCTATACTGAATAGAATCGGTTATTTAATTTGCAAAGCCCAATGCAAAATGAAAGTCCAAGTTTGCTTATTCAAAGTTATTAACGATTTCAAAGTATCAAAACAGTGACAGTAGAGTCTTAAACTAGGTTGGGGGGCGATGCAGTGAGAATAGGGGTAGATATGGCTGGGAGTTCTATGTGGAACTATACAGGTTGCATACTTATGAATCTGGTCTTGCTCCTGCAGGCAGCTCCTGGACTGACCTTAGGCTGCTGTCAAATTAAACCAGCACTGTAAATAAGAGGGCAAGTACCCTAAAGCTGAATGAAGGTGCATCTTAATTACAATCCTGGCTCCACTGCTGACTGTAAGTGTAACCTTGGATGAGTTACTCAACTCTCTCAGTTTCAGTCTACTCATCCACAAACAAGGGATCACAATAAATGAATAGCACCTTTCACAGAATCCACCATATAGTGAGCATTCACCAAATACTGTGTTCATCATCTAATATCATAACACACTGAGCATTTGTCAAACTAGAAAGTAGTTTGCACCTGGATATTTGTTTCTTTTATTAGTTATCCTATTGATGTTTTACTTAAATTTTGTGCGGTAATGTGAAAGAAAATTACTGCTTTTCTGCTATTTAGTTAGCATTTACATGCTTTTTCAAAAAAATGTTACAATAAAATTAATAAAAGCTGAATTAGGTCTTTGCTATTTAATATTATCTAAAAATAACTACCTTCTAGGACCACATTATATAACAACATATAGTAGCTACCTAGGGGCAGGTATCTGAATTGTTGAGAAAATTCTAAGAAGAAAGGACCTTCCTCTGGACATCATACCCTATTCATATTGCTAGTGTCAGGGATGCTTACCATGGTTATAGCATGATAATAACATGATACTGATCATCAATACACAGCTTATGAACATAATTCCTCAATTCTAATAAAGCATCAATTGGGACACACAGGCCATAAAATGCCTAATAGCCTTTAGATGGAAAGAAAAACAATTAAAATGCTGTCATACTATATGTACAAATGAATTTTAAAATGCAGTCTGATTTCCAAAATATTAAGCTATTTTATACACACAATAGTACTGAGGAAGCATGTCAGGACATTCCATTGACCTATAATACAATCATTAAGTTTTGTTCATTTATTGACCTTATGAAAGTTTGCTCTTTTATTTGCTCATATATATGTGTGTGTGTGTGTGTGTGTGTGTGTGTGTGTGTGTGTGTGTATACCTATATAATATATCCCATTTATATATATATTTTCCTATGTATCCCATACGTGTATATATATATATCTATTTCCTGTATGTGCTTGTCTCCATAAGTATAATGTAGATTACATCCATAACATTCTTATGACTTGTTTTGAAGGTAGGAATTATTCCTTCCTTTATTCATTCCATAGATAATGAGTACCTTCTATGTTCCAGGCACTTGTTTAGTAATTTGGGATAGAACAGTAAATAAACTGAACAAAAATCCCTGTCCCAGAGAGCTTACATTCCACCGGGGAAGATTTCAATAAACAAAATGAATAAGTAAAGTAAGAACTTGATAATGATCAGCAATGTCGAGAACTTTTCTCTTTTAAAGGAAGGGAAATTTAGAATTCTGAAATTTGATTTTAAACATGACAAAGAATTCTTCCTTTGATATTCTAATGTAAAGGGTGACTCACCTGTACTATGACCTAGATTTTATATATCATGATTTTTTTGGCTAGTGTCCACCGTCAGTCTTCTATTATACTGGGCATTTTAAACAAATAAAAACATAGGCCAGGTGCAGAGGCTCACACCTGTAATCCCAGCACTTTGCGAGGCCAAGGCGGGTGGATCATGGGGTCAAGAGATAAAGACCATCCTGGACAACATGGTGAAACCCTGTCTCTACTAAAAATACAAAAATTAGCTGGGCGTGGTGGTGCATGCATGTAGTTCCAGCTACTTGGGAAGCTGAGACAGGAGAATCCCTTGAACCTGGGAGGCAGAAGTTGCAGTTAGCCAAAATCACACCATTGCACTCTAGCCTGGTAACAGAGTGAGACTCTGTCTCAAAAAAAAACCCCAAAAAACTAATAAATCATGGTCCCATATTACAAAATATGAATTGGGAATAAAGAACAATACATCTAGACATTGGACAAGATATTTCATTAAATGTTAAATTATAAGTTACAGCCATAAATGTTGACCACATTGTGAGAAGAATATAGGCAATTCCTAGCAGATCCTGGGAGGCACACCTCTTCCTAGAGTTAGGGAGAGAGACATGCTTTAATTAGGAGTGTGTGTCCCACTCACCTAGCAAACATTGAGAACCTCTAGGGATTGCTTATCTTTGATTCCCAACATCTTGTCTGGGATGTGGGGACACAAAAGATAATCAATAAAGAATTATAGAATGAAAGCATGACTCCTTCATTCCTTCAATCCGTCTCTCATGGGATTTGGAGAGCTTTTATAAGGAGGTGGTTCTTACTTTTAAGCAGATTATAATTATTTCTGAAAATTTTGTTACTTCTGTAAGATTCTGTTCATATATTGACAAATCTATATCTACATTCTCTCAGATTATTGGGGATATTATTCAAATTCTTCTTTAATGAAAGGAGCTTTATCCTTAATGTTTTGTTAGAGCCTATACCGTTTTTGTTGAAATACACTGTAATGAATATATTATAAAGGGACAGACCTGTAATTTAACCTTGGAGGAAATAAGTTTTAGAAAGTACTAAGTTGTTCTACATTTCAGGTTGATTGTATACGCAGGACAGTAGAGAGTAATTGTTCTAATATCCATAGCTTAAGGTCACAAGTGTAGTACAAATTTCATTTTGTTTTACTGGTTTGTTCTCAAATACTATTTTAAGTTCACTTATACTGTATTTTCACGTTTGGATACTAGGATCTAATTATTTGCAGTATAGCTAGCAGTATTGCATCAAATACAAATTATTGTGTTTTCACCCCATATAACTCCATGTTCTGATTAAAATTCAGCTACACTAATAAGCGATCATAGCCAAACTAGCTCACATTCTCACAATTGTGTTTTTTAAAAAAACTCAGAGTAAAAATACTGTTTCACGGAGAGGAATGTCATTGACTTTTACTGAAATAGTAGTTCAGACTTATGTTGTTATATAGCTGAATAATAAAACCGTGAATATATTTAAATGATTCATGGCTCTTAATTTTTCATCCAGCAGCATTATTACACATTACATGATAAAATATACATTTTGGGTTAACTCATTAAATAGGGTTTGCATAATTAAATAGGTAAATTAGCATCAATGGAGTAGGTGCCATCCTTACAAAAATAAAAGCAAAGTAAACTTACACAACAAAAAAGGTGACTTTTAGGTTTTTAAATAATACTTGTTGAGGTTACTTCCCTTTATATTCAGGTGATATTTACGAATTATAACTACAAGGCAGGCTCTGTTTTAGATCATTCCTGTTCTTTACCACCTAGTTTCTGTGAACTGCTTCTGTCACAGCTCTATGCTCTGGGCTGGAGGGATACAGCCATAAACAAAATGATGGAAGCCTTTGCCTTTCTATAGATTGTGTTTTAGTAGAAGAAACAGATGAATAAATACATGTTATTAAAATTGCAAATAGTGGTAAATACCACGAAAAGAAACAGGTGAAATGGGAGGAATGGGGAAATGAGGGGTATTCTAGAGATCATGGTCAAGGAAGGTATTTCAAAGGAAATAAGGTAATGTACTGGCAGACATCTTGAGGACAAGACTTTGAAAGGTTTTTGAAAATCTGAAGAGAACCTTCTAGAAGGAGGAACAAGTACAAAGATCCTGGGTAGGTCATGAACTTGGTCTGTTTAAAAAGCAAGATCAGGATGACTGGAACTTAGTGTTCAAGGAAAAAAGATGGGAGATGAGATGAAAGAACAGAGAGTATGGCAAGGATCAACTTCCAGAAGGCCATGTAGGCTGCGGTAAGGAGTCTGGATTTTATCCCAGGAGTGACAGAAGGCTACTGATGAGTACTGACTAGGATAATGATATGGTTCTTTTGTAGTTTAAGAACACCCTAGTTTCTTCAAGGCACAGATGAAAAAGGGGAGATAAGGCTGTTGCTGGACTATAGGAAAGTGATGAAAGGCATGTCCCATGATGCTTAGCGAGGAGCTGTGAGACACACCCCATGACCGTGTCATTTAGATATCCCAGAGTTTTTGAGTATGACAGTAAGATAGACAAAGCTGCCTGGTGACGTTGACCATGTCCAAAAAACCCATTGAATGACATATGTGAACAGGAACAATCATATTTCAAGGTTAATCGCTGTTCTACTTTTAGACAGTTGTAAAACTTGTGATTATTTAAGCATAGTCTGTACATCAGAAAATAGGAAGAAATATTTTGACCTATGGTCATTTTTAATTTTTGAGAAAAAGAAAGTAGATATACTATATAAATAAACAGATTAAGCCTAGATATATTATTTTTAAAAAGATAATAAAAGCTTGCAATTACTGCTACTTATTACAGCAGCTCTGTGCAATACTCATTGCATAAAATGATGGCTACATTTTTGAGTGTCAGTTACCAGACGCTCTGTCAGGTGATTTGCTTTATCTCATTTACTCTTGGTCACTCTCTGTCAGGTGGACATTATTTTCACCTGTGTTTTTAAAGTTGAGGACATTTTAGGCACAGAATTTTTAGGTTACCTACCCTTCCTAGGTCACAGAGCCAATAACTGACAAAGTTGGGACTCCAGCATAGGTAATTTTGCTCTTAATCACTGTACACCAGTTATATAATTATTTATTTATTTATTTAAGTTTTTTTGAGACAGGGTCTCTCTCTGTTGCCCAGGCTGGAGTGCAGTGACACAATCAAGGTTCACTGCAGCTTCAACTTCCTGGGATGAAGATATCTTCATGCCTCAGTTTCCTGTGCAGCTGGGACTACAGGTGCCTGCCACCACACTCAACTACTTTTTAAAAACATTTTTTGTAGAGATGGGGTCTCCCAATGTTGCCCGGGCTGCTCTTTAACTCCTGGACTCAAACAATACTCCCTCCTGGGCCTTCCATAGTGCTGGGATTACAGGCATGAGCAAGAAGGCAGTTTATAAAACAGGTATGTCCCTCTACAGGACATAGTCTGGACCTTTTAAAGTCAGCAGGCCAATACAGCCACCAAGGATGTAAACACACTAAGTGACAGCATAACATAATTAATCCTCTGTTACACAATCAATGAGGAATAATAACGTTTCTTGGGAAACTGAATATAGTAGACGGAGCCTGAATTTTTCCTGAGCACAGATGTTGAGTCATCATTTGATGAATTCTCCCTGGAGGGGAACTGTAACAAATACACAGGGCCTCTCAAGGACATTCACAGTTGTAAATTGTGGACTATAAAAATAATAATATAAATATT